CCTGTTTCTGGCTAGCACTAACTTTCGGCACAGTCATCGCCGATGTGCCACCTGGCGTCCTCCCTCTGCATCTCAAGCCTGGACTCAGATTGATCACATCGCGATCAGCTACCGCTGGCGTGGTTGTGTACAAGACTGCCGCTCCTTTTGGAGTACCTATCTGGACTCTGACCATGCCTTGGTCCGCGCCAATCTTGCCTTACTTTTCAGTGGACAACGAAGTGACCGCCATCAACGGATTGGTATTAGCAAGCTGGTTGCAACTTCTGTTGCAAGTAAGTATCGAACCGAGCTAGCCTCTAGGCTAGCTACCACTCCACCGAAAAGTATAGATGAGCATTGGTTGCAATTGCATGACGCCATGAAAATGGCGAAAACAGTCAGTTGTGGGTTTGCGAAACGTCCCGCTTTTAAGCACTGGGTTTCTTCTGGTTCCTTACAACTCATTGAAGCCCGTCGGTCTACTCCGGGTGACCGTGAGTTTGACCATAAACGAAGGATGTTATGTAAGGAAATTGGGCAAAGCTTGCGTAAGGACCGAGAAGCCTGGTGGTCGAAGCGTGCTAATGAGCTGGAAGCAGCAGCTGCATCTGGTAACTACCGGAAGCTCTTCCAACTCATCCGGGCCACTGGCAGCAAGAAGTCTGGTGTGAGTGAAACAATCTGCGAGGATGATGGGATGCCAATCACTAACATCCATCGACGTCTTGGACGGTGGGCAGAATTTTTCGAAGGGCAGTTCAACTAACCTGCTGCTCCGGCAACATTGGTCAAACTGTCCTGCCCTCCATGACTGGTGACGACTGATCCACCAAATGAGGAGGAAGTCCGCAAGGAACTCCAACTCTCGAAGCGTTACAAATCACCTGGCCCAGATGATTTACCTCCGGCTCTTTTTAAAGATGGTGGTGACTTTTTGACTAAGGAATTGACGACGTTGTTTACAAAGGTTTCGGAACTAGAGAGTGTACCAACGTCATGGAATGAGTCGATAGTTGTCCCTATCTTTAAAAAGGGTTCACGTCGTTCCTGTAACAACTATCGGAGGATAAGTCTACTTCCGATTGCGTCCAAGCTATTGGCTTCCGTCATTCTTCGTAGGTTGTTCAAAACCGGAGAAAGATTGACTCGCGAGGAGCAGGCTGGGTTTCGTTCTGGTCGAGGATGTATTGATCATATCTTCACCCTCCGCCAAATGTTAGAACACCGCCATACTTATCTAAGGCCAACAATCGTAGTGTTTCTTGACATCAGGGCTGCCTTCGATTCGTTGGACAGGACTGTTCTCTGGGATTGTCTATTGAAGAAGGGTGTCCCTGAGAAGTTTATTAACATCCTAAAAGCCCTATACACAAACACGTCAGGCAGAGTGAGGGCATACAACCACCTCTCTCCATTGTTCCATTCGAGTAGTGGGGTTAGGCAGGGTTGCCCAATCTCACCATTCCTCTTCAACTTTGCCATCGATGACATTCTGGAAACAGCTCTGATGAATGTAAGTAATGGTGGTGTGGATCTGTTGCCTGGAGAAAGACTTCTCGACCTTCAGTATGCGGACGATATTGTCTTACTGTGCGATAATGCCCAAGGCTTGCAATCCGCACTTAATCAGTTGGCAATCAGTGTCCGTAGGTATGATATGTGCTTTGCACCTTCGAAGTGCAAAGTACTCCTACAAGACTGGCAGGATTCTAATCCTGTACTCACCCTGGATGGTGAGCAGATAGACGTAGTCGAGGAGTTCGTGTATCTGGGTAGCTGCATAAGTGCTGGTGGGGGTGTGAGTGATGAGATCAATGCACGAATAGTGAAAGCCAGAGCGGCTTATGCCAATCTGGGCCACCTTTGGCGCCTTCGTGATGTTAGTCAGGCTGTAAAAGGTCGGATCTACAACGCGTCGGTGAGAGCAGTTTTGCTCTATGGTTGTGAAACTTGGCCTCTCCGAGTTGAAGATGTTAGACGACTCTCTGTGTTCGATCATCGCTGTCTCCGAAGGATTGCTGACATTCAGTGGTAACACCATGTCAGTAATGCAGAGGTTTGGCATCGTGTGTTCGGGCACATAGATGATAATTCAATTGGTGTTACCATCTTGAAACACCGACTTCGGTGGCTTGGATATGTTCTCCGAATGTCGTCCCAGAGAATTCCACGTCGTGCATTATTTGCCGACTCTGGGACTGGTTGGAAGAAGCGGAGAGGTGGTCAGTGCATGACATGGTGTCGTGGCATGAAAGAAAGCTGCAAAGAACTGGCTCGTGTTGGTCGTTCACGACTCCCTGGTTGGGGTCTGAGAGATGGTGCCACACAGTGGCTAGAGACGTTATCAGATATGGCTCAGAATAGAAGCCAGTGGCGATCCTGCTGTAACCTTTTACTTTCTTCATAAAAAGTGGTAGTGTCTCCCTTACCTGAAAGATTTCTTCTGATTGTACCTTTTCGTTCCCCTCATTACTACCACACTACCTTATACCAATCTCTTAGTTATTGTTCTCTTTTTCTTTTGCGCTCCTTAGTTGTTTTTTTGTTTTTTTTGGACTTCTCTTCGAATTTTCATTGTTTTGTGTGGCGCATATATATTGGCGCTCTCTTGTACCAATATTCATGTGTCCAAATAAATAAAAAAATCCATAAACGAGTTGAGACGCAGTGTATCCAATGTCAGCTTTCACTGCATTGCGGATACCTAGTAAGACGAGTGGAAGAGCGTCGGTCCACTGTGAAACGTTTGCAGCTGATAGGGAAGCTTCTACTTGTCGGTGAAAACGTTCTACCAACCCGTTTGCTTGTGGATGGTAGGCGGTCGTTCGGAAGCGAGTGGTTCCTAAAAGTATAGTCAGACGACGGAAAAGTTCAGATTCAAACTGACGTCCGCGGTCTGTAGTGATGTTTGAAGGGCAGCCGAAGTTTGCTACCCATCGTTCGACGAAGGCGCGAGCCACTGTTTCAGCAGTGATGTCCTTGATAGGTACTGCTTCTGGCCATCGAGTGAAACGGTCTACGCAGGTTAAGAGGTAAGAGTATCCATTTGAATCTGGTAAAGGTCCTACCAAATCCAGATGAACATGGTCGAAACGAGCATCGGGAGTTTTAAATGAGCCTAAGGGACATTTGTTGTGTCTGATTACCTTAGGTTTTTGGCAATTTATACGGGAGCATGCACACTCCCTCACGTCTTTATTCATGCCAGGCCAGCAAAACCGTTCTGCTATAAGCTTGATGGTTGCACGAACGCCTGGATGAGAAAGTTTGTACAATGTATTGAAGACTTTGCGTCGACAATGTTTCGGCACGACTGGACGATCCCTACCTGTAGATGTGTCACGCAGTAAGGTTTCCTTACCTGTTCCCATCTGTTTGGTGCGTAGTTTAAGGGTTGTGGACGATAACTCGTGCTGAAGATCAGTGTCTTCTTTTTGAAGCTGGGAGAGTTTAAGAAGGTCGATTCCTTGGGAACTGTTCAAGGAAGTTATGCGAGATAAAGCGTCTGCAACTACATTGTTTGCTCCAGAGACGTGTTGAATATCTGAAGTAAACTGTGAAATGTAGTCCAGTTGTCGAGACTCACGGGGAGAGTACTTGTCTAAAGGAGAGCTTAACGAGAAAGTGAGCGGTTTATGATCCGTGAAAAGAATGAATTCACGGCCTTCGATATAGTGTTGGAAATGCCGTACAACACAATACATAGCTAGAAGTTCCCTACCGAATGTGCTGTACCTCGATTCAGTGTCTAGCAACCGTCTAGAGAAAAATGCTAATGGTTGCCAGGAGTTGTTAACCCATTGTTGTAAGACGCCACCGATTGCCGAGCCCGATGCGTCCACTGCGATACTAATGGGTGCTTCGGTGTCCTGATGTGCAAGCATTGTTGCTTTAGCAATCAGTTCCTTAACTGTGGAGAATGCTTCTTGTGCAGTATCGTCCAAATTGATCGATTTCGTATTTCCACGGAGTTGGTCGGTAAGAGGTTTCATAAGTAATGCGCATTTCGGTGTGAAGCGTCTATAGAAACTTACAAGGCCGTTAAACGTGCGTAAGTTCTTGACGGTGGTCGGTTCTGGGTAATCAAGAATGGCCGCCACTTTGGTTCTAAGGGGTCGGATACCTTGAGCATCGATAGTGTGTCCCAGAAAGTCTAATGAGTCGGTTCCGAATTGGCATTTCTGAATGTTTACAGTAGTGCCATGTTTTTGTAGTCGTTCGAAAAAAAGATCCAGATGCTTGAGATGTGTTTCTCTTTCCGGACTTGCGATTAGGCAGTCGTCAACATACGCGTTTACGAAGTTGAGACATCAAAAAATGTGGTCTATGAATCTTTGGAATGTTTGAGCAGCATTTCGTAGACCGAAAGGCATTCGCAAAAATTCATAGAGTCCGAAGGGAGTTATGATAGCTGTTTTCGGTATGTCGTCAGTTGCCATAGGGATTTGGTTATACGCTTTAACCAAGTCGATTTTCGAAAAGACAGTTGTACCTTTCAAGGTAGCTGTCAAATCGTGAATGTGAGGCAACGGGTAACGATCGGGAATGGTTTTTGCATTCAACCGCCGATAGTCACCAGCTGTACGCCAATCGTTGCCGTTTTTTTAGGGACCATGTGCAACGGAGATGCATATGGGCTATTTGACGGTCGTATGATTCCTAAGTCTATCATGTGACTACGGTGGGGATTTATTTACCGCTGTAGGGTGATTCTAGGCTTAATATATAATCTCTTTTTCTTCCCACTAAATCAGGATATCTCAGAAGACATAACAAGCGCGTAGAAAAGCCAAGAACGGACAATATACACATGACATACAGGTTTTCACACCGAGTCATCAATACTTAGAACCTGATGCCCGAAGCAGTGGTATCCTCACCTTCAATTGACTCTTTCAAGAGAAAAATGGACACTCACAGAAGCATACTAGAAAAGAAATAGCATATGCCGTAGGTCTTCTGTCCTTACTACACAAATTTTAATCTGAATGTTAACGATATATATTAGATTCAATGTTCAGACCGCTACTTTCGATCTCACCGCTACTTTAGTATGTTGTCCTTGAGTAGCAAAAAAGGACTTCATAGGCTGGTTTATTCATCATACTCGAGACTTTCATCTTCGGAGCCAAGGTTAGCGATACATTTGTGTTATATAACTTTAGTCAACCTTCAAAAGTTGATAGTTCTGATGAATCCATCCCGTACAAACCGTACAGTCCTTTTCCAAAACCACAAGGGAAAATAGACTATGTTGTCACCCGGCTTGATGATTTAGCAGACTGGGCTAGAAAAGTGGGGGCAATTTTTATTATTTCACTTCGTAGAACTCAATATATCCGCTTACTTTCGGTCTTGCATGCTGCGCTGTTGAAATGATGCATATCGCTGGGCCTCGTTATGACATGGATCGTTATGGGGTAGTTTTTCGGGCTAGCCCACGTCAAGCTGACCTTTTAATCGTTTCTGGAACTGTTACTAACAAGATGGCCCCGGCTCTTCACAGAATTTACGCCCAAATGACTCAACCGAAGTGGGTTATTTCAATGGGCTCTTGTGCAAATGGTGGTGGTTACTATCATTATTCATATAGTGTTGTACGTGGCTGTGATCGAATTATTCCGGTTGATATATATGTACCAGGTATGTTGTCAGATTGTTCATTTTGCTCGCAATTGGACCCACCAGTTTTTTTTAAAAATTTAACTTGCTAGCCACAAACTAGAGGATCTAACCTAATTCCATTAAATAAATCATACTCAAAAGGGAAAAACACAGACAGTTCTTGAATTAATTACTTGCCCGTGTACTCGACTACGAGAGATACTTCTATGAAGACTAAAAATACGACCTGGCTACTTATTTTATTTAACAGTTGGGGAGTAGTGTGGAATATATAGAGCATATTTTGGTCACTAGTCGGTGAACGTTCACATCCTCATCAGACATGCATCATCTACATCTAGTAGCCTGCGAGTAACTTCAGCACTATTCACGTGGTGGTTGGACTATACACGTGCAAAACCGTCGTGACAACTACCAACAATCTACACATCTTAAACCCTCAGATACCACTTCACACGCGTAAATATGGGGTTAACTGCTGCGCGCCGTATCCTTTCTTTTGTTAAGCGAATGGGGATGTATCGTGTTTAGTTACTTTATCAATAATCAGTTATATATGACTAATAATTTCTTTGAGTGCCAACCATTTAATTGAGTAAATAACACTGACTTAATCATAGTTTGATATGTTTTACACGCTCATTCTGTGGATTCAAGCTTAGCCATCATCAATATAGATTAAAAGGTTTGGAGGAACCAACCTATGGCTTCCGACTAAAGTCGTATTCAGATGCCGTATTATTCGAAGCCATTCAATATTTTCAATACCATTAGTTTTTTTGTTGATTCTCTGATTCACTGTACCAATACGAATTATAACAACTTGAGGCTTCGTACCTTTGTGCTAGGTTATATGATTTTCATGACTAACTGATTCAAAGGTTCCATGTTAACTTAAGGCAGACTTTTTCGGTGAGACAATAATTTATGGACGACCTGTGAGCGACGCTGAAGTGACCTTGAGAGTGTTCACCTAATAACTAGGATCAAATGAAGGTTGTAAACCAGTTTGAGGAATGAGATTTATTATTTACAGTTTATGGTTAGTTTTAGGGATTAGATTCAAGGTTTTCATCACGGATTGACGTCAGCTATGATGCCAAAACTGTTTAGCCAAATGGATGGGTGAATTTCGTGCCAAAATCCGAGACCTGTTATCTTCTACCTGATTGGTTCGTCCATAAATTATAGTCTCGCCACTTTTTCAATGAGATCAAACACGTTAAAATTGTAAGTTCAAATTATTTAGTCACAATTAAGTTTCACTATATGTCTAGCTAATTTAAGCACTAAATAGTAAGCCTAATGTTAAACTATTGTATCAAATCGGGCTCATTCTTTTACTTGAAAGTAATAGTAATATTCTTATTTATTTCTTTTTAATGTTAGGTTGTCCTCCATCTGCAGAAGCGCTGATGTATTCTATATTACAACTGCAAAAGAAAATTAAATCTGAAAAACACATTCAATCATGGTATAGGAAATAAACGATGAATTTATCTTAAATGAAAAGAGAATTTTCAGAACTGAATTGTAACTCACTTTCCAAAATTGATTCACACATTAGTGTTTACCTGTATTTATTATAGAAAACCAAACCTTTCTAGATACGCATGTGTTTATCTGCTCAAATTTACGTACCACTTTTTGGGTAAAATGTGGGTTGCACATCTGTTGTACTATTCGGACGATATTAGTTAACTTTTCCAGCCACCATCCATCCTGACTCTCAGTGGTGACTAGCGTCTAAGTTGGTTGAAAGAAAACTAAGGAACGTTAAACCAAGCAATGATGTCGATTCGTTATATTAATAACTGCTTATATTGGTCGTCTTGGGAATCACATACTTCTTTATGGTTCGCACACTAATCGTGGATCTCGAGTGATATAACTCATAATCAGTTGTAAAAGGTCAGTCGCATTCATCCGTTTTTGAAGTGTCCTCAGGCGTCATAATAGGCACGTTCCTCTCTGATCTTCCAATGTATATGACTTGATTCGTACATATGAAGTAGTGGATACTATTCAATCAAAATATTTTTCTGTTATGTTGGGGAGGAGTAAGTTACAATGGACAAATGAGTGTGTGGTCATTTTTGATTGGCCCAACAGCAAAGTAACTTACTCGGACTGCGTAACAGTATAAGTCAAAGTCTAGGGCAGATGGATTTATACGGTATCAAACAAAAAGCCTAGGATGTTGATATCTAATTTTTTCACTTATAAAACTATTAACTTTAGTACTTCAAACACTTCAAATTCAGATGAATGACTTCCAACGATAAAAAACAAAGGTTTACTAACTGATTAAACAAGCGGCTTGTTCGTTAGAAAATACTTTGAACACGGCATATCACTGAACCATACCCTAAACAAATCATATATTCTCCTAATAAAGCTGTATATACTTTAAATTGTATGGATAATTGATGAATGCTTAAAAATTTTGTTTTTGAAATAGTTCATATAATAAGTCATTGTATTTTATAAAGAAATACATTATAATGACTATATTGTGTTGTTCAGAATTTGAAATGTTTTGTATTATCACTGCAGTAATTGATTTAAACTAGAAAATCTACTGGTTATCTTAAAGACGTGCTGAATATTTGCGAATTCGTTATCGAAGAAATAACGTTTTATTTACAAAAAAAGTAATAAAAATCACACATTTAAATAGAATCAACTAAAAAGTGGCATTTATTTGATAATGAAGTGTTATCGACAACAATTAAGAGGAACACTTTCAACGGAAAATAGAAATCATCACTGGCAGTTTAAACATTTTGACTGAATACAACAAAGTTGGCATATTAAAAAGTGTCACAGTTTCAATTTGAGCAATCAAATTTCCGAACAACAAAACTATTGATTATTCTTTACAACAACAGTCTGAGTTACATAGTCGTATACTGATTTGAGTGTATTTGAATTCAAGAAAATCTAGAGAACGTCACAAATGTTGGAATTCATCAATAAAGAAAGCAGTGATTATATAGAATAAAACATCTAGACCGACCAAATATTCAACGTTTATTAAAATTCAAATTGAGAATGAATTTGTAACACTAACTGATTCAGAATTGTGTACGCTAAGTTTTTTTTAACTTGTCATTTTGATTACCTTCCTAGTTGTGACTATGACGCTAATAATACTGTTTCCGACCGTTGCTGCTATCTTGACTTAGCGGTTGGGCTTGCCTATCGTAATGGCCCAACCGAGCTATATTAGCTGGAACATATGTTTCTGTAGGTTCTACCATGCCAGGCAGGTCGATTAGAGAACGGTAAGACTAATGGCAGCAACTCAAGGTCTGACGGCGAAGTCGTACTGCTGCTTGTACAGAGGTGTGGCAGCAGTAAGGTGTTTCCCTTGGACAACCAGCATCTGCAGCGATGCTGCCTTCCCACAAGGAGGGGTGGGGTTAGAAAAGGTCGACCCTAAAAATGTCACACCTCGCCTTACCTCACGGATTTCCGTCTCCGCCGGTAAGGCCCTTTGAAGAACGGAGCTAACACGTTACAAACCTTCCACGAAAAGGCCGTGCGCGACCGGCTTCAAGCAGTTGTCCCTTGGGCTCTGCGGTTACGCTCCCAAGTCGTTAAGGCCAACATTAATCCAACTTCCTTTTCAGGTTCCTCAAGAAATACCCTTCCACGGTGTGGGCAGCCGGGAAGTGATATCAGCCCTCATACCCGTAACAGCACACAAGAACAAGTTGGTCACATTCAAATCCTTCCTACACCTCCTAATACCTCTCTTATCTCCATGACTAACCCTTCTCACGTCTCTGTATCATCTCGCACCGCTAGAGCAAATGATTGGGGTACGCGGAACGCTATTCCTGGTCTCCTGAAACCACGCTCTAAACTACACGTAGGAGCTTTTAACGTCCGAACACTGTGCGAAATAGGACAACAGGCTTCCTTAGCTAGGACTTTAGAATCCCGCGCCGTCGATGTGTGCTGCGTCTCCGAAACGCGCATACAGGATCCAAGTAGCGTCATTCATTTGACCTCACCATGCCAAAACAAAGAACCAACTCGATTCACACTTCGTGTATCTGGAAGCCCAGATGCTGCTTCCTGCGGCCTCGCCGGCGTAGGTATAGCATTGAGTCCTAGGGCAGAACTAGCTCTCTTAGAGTGGATCCCAGTAGACAGTCGTTTGTGCGCTGTCCGACTGAACGGAACAGTAAGGATCCGTCGTTGCCTCTTCGTCGTCTCTGCCTATTCTCCCACTGACTGCAGCACAGATGATGTAAAAGATGAGTTTTACAGAAAGCTTTCGGACCTTCTCCGAAAAGCTAAGCGCTCGGATGTAGTAATAGTGGCCGGTGACTTTAATGCTCAAGTAGGTAAACTAAGCGATAAGGAAAGACACCTAGGTGGATCCTATGGTGTCGTGGCTCAAAGAACAGATAATGGCGACCGTCTGTTGCAGCTATGCTCAGATAACCGCCTGTTCCTTGCAAATACTAACTTTAAGCATAAGGAAAAACATCTTTTAACATGGCGACCCCCTAATTCGTCCCAACGTTGGACCCAAATAGATCACATCGCTATCAGCCACCGATGGAGGGGCTCGATAGAAGACTGTCGCTCATTGTGGAGCACATGCCTAGATTCAGATCATGGTCTAGTACGAGCGCGTATTTGCTTGCGTCTTACTGGACGTAGGAAAGACGCTGCAAGGAAACCTCTTAGGGGCCTACTTAATGATAGTCAAGCTAAGAATATATTCCAGGAACAACTAGGAAAACAGTTAGGCAGCCATGTATGTGATGCCCACCCCGAGGCAGCATGGAATGATATCCGAAAAGCTGTGGAAACAGCAGTGATATCTGCTAGTAAGGTAAACCAGAAGGTTAGGGAGCAACACTGGATCTCAGCAGCATCTATCTCACTGATAGATGCTCGGAAACTCATTCCACCTGGCTCTGAACATAATGAAGAGCGGAGTCAGCCTAAGCGCAAGCTGACAAGAAGCCTACGCAATGATCGTGAATAGTGGTGGGTAGAGAAAGCAAGAGAGATGGAAAAGGCAGCGGCAATAGGTAATAGCAGACAATTGTTCAGACTTGTTAAGGAAACCGACTGTTAGTGAAACACTCTCAGAGATAGATTGACATATTATTCATTCTCAATCCAGGAGATAGGACCGATGAGCAGAACACTTTAGGGATCAGTTCAACTGGCATTCAGCCACACTTCGGTTTCAGACGATCTCCAGTCAACCTGAATGGCAAGTTAATGTAGGTCCTCCGACCCTTTACGAAGTTGAAAAAGCCATAGGAAATCTGAAACGAGGGAGAGCAGCAGGCCCTGACAGGTTTACTCCTGAGATTTTTAAGAATGGTGGTCAAGGATTAGCAGTGAGATTAACTGAGAACTTAGGTAGAATTTGTGTACTGGACGTAATCCCATCTGACTGGTCTCAATCACTGATTGTGCCAGTCTATAAGAAGGCACAAAAGTCCTCTTGTGACAATCACAGAGGAATCAGTTTGACTAATATAGTGTCTAAAATATTAGCCTCAATAATACTTCGACGCCTAACTAAAGCTCGTGAAGAGCAGACTAGAGAAAACCAGGCTGGCTTTCGACCTGGACGTGGTTGTATAGATCAGATATTCACACTACGTCAGGTTCTAGAACACAGACACACATTCAGAGCCCCACAATGGTAGTATTTCTTGACCTTAAGGCGGCATTCGACTCTGTTGATCGTGAGGTTCTATGGCAGTGTTTGTCACTGAAAGGAGTACCAAAGAAGTACATTAACCTTATAAAGGCTCTCTACTCGAACACAACTGGTAGAGTGGGAGCTTATGGCGAACTGTCATCAGAATTGATTACCTCAAGTGGTGTTCGTCAGGGCTGTCCACTCTCCCCATTCTTGTTCAACTTTGTGGTCGACGTACTTTTAGAGATAACACTCTCCTCATCTAAATTTACAGGAGTTGAACTTCTACCGGGAGGTTCACTTGTTAACTTAGAATATACAGATGACATAGTTTTATTTGGTGAAGACGCTGACAAAATGCAGAGTCTTCTGACCACTCTAAGCAACAATGCAAGCATGTTCGGGATGCGATTCTCTACCTCGAAATGCAAAATGTTGCTTCAGAATTGGGTTGCTTTGACACCCGAACTAATGATAGGGAGTGAAGTAATTGAGCGTGTCGATCGCTTCACTTATCTTGGAAGTCTCATCAGCCCTTGTGGTCTGGTGTGACGAAATCTCAGCATGGATACAGAAGGCTTGACTAGCCTTTACTAACTTGCGTCATTTATGACGTAGGCGATATATCCGTCTATCAACCAAAGGGCGTGTTTACTGCGCAGCAGTTCGTTCCGTCCTAATTTACGGCAATGAAACATGACCGCTAAGAGTAGAGGATATTCGTAGGTTACTAGTATTTGATCATAGGTGTCTTCGAAATATTGCTCATATATCCTGGGACTATCGAGTAAGTAACGTAGTTGTTAGGAAACGGGAACTAGGTAAGGATGGTAGATCAATTGATGAAGTAGTGAAACTTCGTCAGTTGAGATGGCTGGGACACGTGTCACGTATGCCCAACCACCGACTGCCTCGACGTGCTATGTTTTATGATGTAGCAGTAGGTTGGGAGAAAGCTAGGGGCGGCCAGACCAAAACATAGCACAAGTCCATGAAGTCACTGATAAGTAGAGTGAGTCATATTGGTAGGTGTAGATTACCTGGTTGGGGACCGCGAGATGATAGCAACCGATGGTTAGAGACCCTGAATGACACGGCTCAAAATCGTTTGCAATGGCGCAGGTGCATCTACTCTTTGTGTTCTCCCAAATTTTGATCTCCTTATTCCTCCTTGTCTCTTTTTTTTCTCCTCTCAAATTTATTTCACTGTATTATACTCGTTAAGTAACATCTCCAAACACTAATTTTCCTGATTACTGCTTATACTCTTATTACCTCTACTACTACGGGATTTGAATCGACCACTGCATCTCTATGCTAATGTGGTGTGGCAACTCGAACTGATGTACGTACGTACGAAGTTCTACGTTGTTACTGACTGACTGACTTGCCTATCATGATGAACCAATCGAGCTATACTGGCTGGGACAATCGTTCCTCAAGGCCTTCCCGCAAAGAAAGGGTTGGATTAGAAAAGGTTGATTGTAAAAATACACACTTCGCCGTGTCCCATGGATATCCGTCTCCGGCGGTAAGGTTTCAACAAGTAACACAAAATGGTTTCAACATTTAACTCAGTAACTCAATGGTTAAAGCGTAACTATTTGAAGTAAAAGTCTCCCAATTTCAGTCTCTGTGTAAATACAAACATTTAGATGTATGTGCACATACAGGTGTGGCGACGATATCGTCAAACAATGAATA